GTATGGTTTTATCTTTGTTCTGCTCAAGCATGTAGTTGCTTCATTGCGCTATTGATTGATCTAGCATCAAGCTTAAAAAGAGCTCTTGACACTTGTAGTTTCACACATTCGTACTTCTCTTCCGATGTCCTTTTGTATGGTCATCGTTACAGTTACTAGATAAGTGACTGCTAAACTGCTATCTTTTTCTGTTACAGATTCCATAGTGTTGCCTACCTTCAGCAAATATGGTGGCTGGAGGTGGCTGGGGAGATTGATTTCTGCTTCCCTGCTGGTTCATATAGCCTTCTCTTCCGGCTCCACTTGGGCCGGCCACACAAGCGCATGGGCCGTCGGGTCTATGACTCTGAGCTCATCTACGGTTGGGACATTAAACCGACACGGTTTCAGCTCTCAACTTCAGATGGCCAGCACACAACATCCGACTACCATCTAGATGGACCAGGACACTGGATCCTTTACCATGTCGGTGATTTTGTCATATCGAGTTCGGATGAGTTGACCAAGCTCAAGTTCTCTATGATGCAGATTGATTGCACGCATACAAAAGGCGGCCTGTGTGTCGACTCTGTTTTCATTTATCCTAAGGATCATCAGCCCGAGGAGTGCATACGCAAGTAATTTTGCAAACCTGCTGTATCACTCCATGTGGCAATTGATAGGCGGTGCCTAGCCTTTTTCATAGCTATTCTCGTCCAAAACCCGTTGTAAATATTCCTTCATTTGAACCTGGAGTCATGGTACGTATTCTTTGTAGTGATAGTTAAATAAGTTGGGGTCAGGAGGATTTAGATGTAGGTGGTGATGTATGATTAGAGTGGTAGGTGTTCATCTGTAGAAAGAGCAGTTTCATTTGTTCGTCATTGTTGTGGTGATGTTTTTGTAAATACATTTTCCTGGATCCTGTCTCTACTTCGTTGAACCTAGTTATTTCTCAACACTTGTCTACAAAAAATCACTTTGGATAAGTGTAACCTGCTCTTTGCTTCCCATGTGTCGTGATACAACGAAACCGGAGATTGGGAACTCCAGCCTTTTGTGGGTAGATTCTTTGTGTTTTAAAAATGAGAATTCAAGCTGAAATATTTTTCGAACCATTCGCCCGAATTATGAGAAGTTTTCACATGTGTTCCTCGTGTTCAAAACTAGGTAGGTTTGCGATTTTGTACGTGCAAGTGTTCTTTCCATGTTGGTGTTTGTACTTCCAGTTTCGGTATCGCCTGTGTCAATTTATGTTAGCAGTGTGTACTTTCCCACGAACATGGCAGTACATATGCACTTGTGTCACATCCCAAAATTTTCAAAGTTGGTTGTGAACATGACATTCATATGCATATCATGATTTCAGTGCGTTTTGGATATTTTTGGAATTAATTTGGCTACTTTGGAAAACCTAATTGATTTTTAGATTTATTTAATAGCCACATTACGACCTCTTGCATAAAAATGAATTTCCAAAATTGCATCAATGGCTGGAAAGATTTTTCATATGATACACGTGAGCCCTAGTGTTTGTTTGAATTTTCTGGAGTCCAAAGAAATTGAACTGGAATGAATTTGGACCAATTCAAATTCAATTCCAGATAGTAGAAAAAGAAAAAGAAAAAACGGCCCAGCCAGGCCAGGCAGCCCAGCAGGCCGAGCCAACCCCGCAGCCCACCCCATCACGCGAACTGGTACGTGCGCGATCTAATCGGGGCTGTCCACGCAAGATCCAATGATAGCCGCGCCCCATGTTGCCTCTTTTTTTCTCTCACTGACTGCCTCTTTTTTCTCTCACCGACAGCAGGACCCACCTGTCAACTCCCTCGCGCACCTCACACACAACGGCCACATCCCACACCCGCCGCCGCACATTTATCATTGATTGAATCTTTTGATGTTTGGGGCTTTAGTTATATGGGACATTTTCCAACTTCACATGGTAACACTCATATTACAGTTGATATTGATTATGTTACTAAATGGATAGAAACTATTCCAACTAAAAATGATTCTATGAAAATAAAAAAATGTTAATATTTCTGAGGGGAAATGTCCGAACTGCAGTTGGCATTCACGAGCGTCGGTTTTACATTTGCAGTAGCAGCCCGCATGCCACAAATACGCAGCCTGCCCTGCCTTCTTTGGCAACTTTGCTGTTGGATGCTCTAAAGCCCTAAAAAAAAACTGAATAGCACAGCGAAAGAAAGCGAAATAGGGGGTCTGATCCAGTTAAAATCTCTTGTAGGTGGATTGCCACTCCCAACCTACTCACTAAAGCCCTAAAAAAAACCAAAGGCCACGAACTGAATAGCACAGCGAAATCTGAAACAAAATTGGAGAGAGAAAGAGCTTATCTGGTCAGACTTATAGGATGTGCTATATACTGATAAATTTATCCCTCAATTCAATTCTGTGTAATATGTAAGCTGGTAATGCTCGTGGACAACAGTATTATTTAGACTAGTCGGATCCATCATCAAATAATTCAAAACTTCAAAAACCATGGTTAATTTGATCGACTTGGAAACTACGTACACAAAACACTGACTAAAATTGCAATAAAAATGCACATCCAAAAAATTTCAAAAACTAAGGCCCTGTTTGGTTCATAAGTCCTAGGACTTTTTTAGTCCCAACTTATAAGTCTCAAGTCCCTAATAAGTCCCCACCTGTTTGGTTACTGGGACTTAACATGGACTAAAAGACCATATTACAACTATAAGTCCCTCCTTGAGAGTCTTATTTCATAAGTCCCAAATGCCCACTTTAAGTTCCTATAAGTCCCTCCTATTTGGTTTAGATGGGACTTATAGGGACTTTTTGAAGTCCCTAAACCAATAAGTTCCTGGAAACAAACACCCTCTAACTCTACGAAACGATCATTCAGAAACTTGAGCACATCAGCTGATATAACCAATTGAAACTAGGTCTCGTCAGTGTCTTGTGAAACAGCAAACCCCCCTGCACGAATGCCGACAGATGGAAGGAATGAGATTCCTGCTTAGTTATATAGGCTGTGTTCGGCAATCCACCACTCCGTCACCAGGGAGCGGAGCGCGCGGAGCAGCCTGTTTGCCGCTCTCCGTATATCTACTGCATGCCGCTCCACTCCTCGGCGGAGTTACGGAGCGGAGGAGTTCCAAACGAAGCCATAATACTCCCTCTGTTCTCTTTTATAAGACGTTTTACACATTTCAGACAGACACAAAACAGTTCAAACTGGACTGGCTAAAACGTCTTACAAAAAAGAACAGAGGGAGTAGCTTCTTAGTAAATCTTCTAACTTTCTATTAGAATGCTAAAGGAAGCAATTAAACTAACATGCATGCTCAATTGTGTATAAGGAAATGCTAGATGATAACACTGGAAGAAGGGATCGATTGCCACGAGGTATATAGCCAGACATGTAATAATGATTGGTTGATTATATATGTACAAGAGACAACTAAGAAAAGTGGAAGAGTATGGAAATGATTGCATGGACAAGAAAAAAAGACCCGCAAAAGAGAATGGCAACACATAGACCACAAGAGCCATGCTTGCTTAATTACATTTCACATATAAAATTACCACAACAACAACAAAGCCTTTATAAAATTACCACATTTATCAAAAATCTACCAGACACGACAAATCACAGATAAAATTGCCCCCTTTATAAAAAAATGCCTCTCGTTACTAATACTAACGCATGCTCTTTTGCCTCAAAAACACCTCTTTACTATCTGATTAGATGAAGAGGCAAAACTAACCAAAGAGAGACTGAGAACTGAGAAAAGGAGAGATGATACTAAAGAAAGAAGAAACGGCGAATGAAGAGTGATATACTGCGAAAAAATTAAAAAAGATAATGATGACTGAAGGGACTGAAGAGTAATTAACAGAGGGAATGAAAACTGGTAGAAAAAAAAACAAGATAATGAAATAAAACTAATTACGAGAATCAAGGATTTGAGGAATGAAAGACAAAGGAAACTAATGATGCAAGAAAATTAAGTTTGAATGGAAGAATCTGAAACAAGGGAATATAAACACTGGAGAAAACTGAAATGAGAAAAAATAGATTAAAGTATGAACAATGATAGACATAGAGAACTTCTCTAATGAAGAATGATTGAGGACTAACTAGGTACAAATGAGAGACTAGTTGAACAAAAGGAATGAAATACTAGAAAATAACTGAAGAATAAACTGAAAAAAGCTTCGTTGTCCTACAAGAGCTCTGCATCCTTAACTTTATACTGCTGTGCTGATGATTTATACCTCGCTTCAGTTTTTATTCCTAATCTGTAACATATATAAGTTGTTTGTGCTTGTGGGCAACAGTATTATTCAGACTTATCAAACTTGCAGGTCATGCTCCAAGCCTCCAACAAAACAAAAATGAACTAAAACACACAGTAAAAGACACACGCAACTCTCCTCTATCGTGGCAACACGCCGCGGGCTTGCAAGCATGTAAGATGCAGACATGGAATGGGCAAAGCATTTACGCCGCGGGCTTCAGAATCAGGGCTAGTTTGATCAACTTGGAAACTACAAAAAAAAAAAAACTAAATTGCAACAAAAAGCACTACCAAAATTCGCGGCCGGTGGCGAGACCCTTGATTCTGCTCAAGCAGACCGCCAATCGCTCGTGGCGCGACAGATGGGACAGCCCCGATGGCCTCCTCTCCAGCCCCTCCATCTCCTCCCTCCTGCTCGAAGACAGCTCGCCTCGCTCCACAGATTCCCCCCTGCTCCGCGCAGCAGCTCGTCGGCAGCTCGCCTCCCCCACACAGCCTAACCCCACCTAACGCTGCTCGTCGGCCTCCACTGCCTCTCCATCCTCCCGCTATGCGGGGACAAGACGAAGCGACACGACGCTTCCACTGGGAAAACGGATAGGAGCCCAGACCAGGTGAAATAACCGCAACTGAACCTGGAATAAGCCCACCCCTCCGCCCAGCGACGCACAAAACAAAACAACGGGCGCTAAGATTCGTGCACAGATTGGACGGACATAATTTGACTGGTGGTGAAATCGAAACCAATCAACTGATTTTCAGCAAAAACGTTTTAAAATCCATTCTACTGGACTTCCTAAGCTATGTGGTGTCTGTATTGAATACTGCTCAACTGTGCTGCATGAAACCAGAATAGAATGAAAATTTCACGAAACCTGAAGATCCTCTCATTGCCATCAGATGAATGTTTCTCACTGCCAAATCTATGCTTCGATGGAAGCATCAAACAGATAAACGAGTAGTATATTTGTAGTTTGAACACCTTATTGCAGTTCATGTTTCATTGGGAAAAAAATAGTTTTCTCAAACTCTCTTGTGGTAAATTGCCATTTGGTCTTTACTTTATTTATCGGTGCAATAGCACGGTATGCTCATGTAAAGCTTTGATTGTGCAAATACGAAACTGTTACATGTACCGTAAGAGATGATTTACAGGCTTGCCACAGGCATGATGTAGAAGGTGGCTCGAGATGTGTAGCAGAGCTTCTTGCTGTCCTTGAGCCGAAACTCAACTGTAGTAACCACAACAGATCTGCCCTTCCTCAGTATCTGCGCTTCTACTTCCACTTCAGACTGCACAAGAATAGATAAGGGTTGACGGACATTAGGAATACGCTTGCATCATCTAAAAAAGGGAATACTTGTGTGAAGGATTGTACTCCGACAGGTTCTGAAATATTCTGAAAATGAGAGGCAAAGAATTCCAATCTGTCTAGATCCCCACCACAATTGTATAGCATGTGTTTGAATAACTACATGGCCAATTGAGCTTCTGCAGGCAGTTCATTTGAGTCACGGTACTCGGAAATGCATATTGATTGAGTGGATCGTCCTATGGTCCAACCCAGTTCAACATCATGAGTCTACATGGCGTGCTGATTGTTACCAAATTAGCAAAATATGTAGGTCACCTCCGCTCTTCCCCACCCTGGTGAATTTCCTAGTTGAGATAGCCTGCCTTTCAATTGAACATCACAAAACCCTAGAAGGAACTCACAACTTGTGATTTGTGAATTTGGTCTGCAAGAGATCTCAGGCTACGCCCTTACATTTTCCTGACATCACATATAAATGTTTAAGAGGCCAAAAACACTAAGGTGTGAATGGATCTTACTCAAATCAGAACTATTTATCCCTCTGATTCTTTGCAGATTAAATCTCCCTGGCAGCTATGATGAACACATAGTAGCCTAATCCCCATTAGTTGTTATCTCTTAGCAACACTTTTCACCTGTCAGTAATCATTGGTTCTTTACCAACCAATCTCTTAGTAAAGAACTAATAGATGATCCAGAGATAAACAGCGCTGGTGGTTGAACACTTGAAAGAGAAAAATAACGGCGGATCACTTTGGGACTTTGGGTACAGATTGATTGCAGAAGAAGCTATATATGTGTAGGTAAACAACAACAAAACATTCACACTTCATGAGGAAGCAGTAAAAGTGGTTCACAAGTATTTGTCAGGCATGCATAGCTGGTTGAAGAAATTTGCCAGTAACTGCGCTCAAACATTTCATGAAACAACATATCATGTGCACTTTGTGAATATTTGGTACCAACTTCTGTGTTCACATAGGAACATCTTCTGTATATCTTGTGCAGCATAAGTAGTTGAATATCTATTTAAGAATAGACATTGTCACACCAACTATCATTCCACTATGCTAGCTTTTAGTCATGCCATTAAACTATAACTATATACAAATGTTAACATCCCATAATTTCTTATGCGGACATCCATGCTAGAGTTGCACATCTGTAGCATTATTTGGCAATCTTGTCTTGTACTAACTTTTAAGTCTTCGTGTGAAGGAAATCTCTAAGACTAGCTACCACTTCGATTTCCCAGTGTTTCTGACCAAACCGGCTCCATATGTTCAAATCCCTACCTTGCCAGTTGCTTCAAATGTATTATAAAAAACACCTTGAATTTCCATGGTGTAACTTCACCTGTACCGTTTGTAGGTTAAGCAAATAGTAACAGTGGTGTTGCATTGCAGCCCTGATATAATATACGAGCTAGTACATTTTACCTAGGTTAGAGGTTTGGTAGGTAACATAACCCTAATTCTCAATCACAAATAGTTCACTTAATAAGAGCATCTCCAGCAACCCTCCAACTATAATTCCACTATAAGATCCATCCCCAATAAAGTGGAATGGGGGCTACCCCAATACCGCTTCCGATTATTAGGGACTTCATTTTCTAGTTCCCCAATACCATGCCCCAAAATCCCAAACTGGGAGCTTCCAGATAGGGTCGAAAATTGCTTCATCAAATTAAAACAACACAAACCACGGTTTGGTAAAATTGAGCAAGGGATGTAGATCTCACATCGAGGCGGGCGGCTGAGAGATACGCTGTGCTGAGCTCGCCGAGGAACATCTCCTTATCCCCCGCCGCAGCACGCGCGCACGCCATCCCGACGGCCTCCGCGACGGCCGCCACCGCGCCGCCGTGGAGCGTGTTGTAGGCGTTCTGCACAGCCCACCCGACGACACCACCGGTCAGAGCACATCGCTAGGTACAACTTCATAAAGGAGACGCCGACCGTCGCGCTTTAGTGCTCACAGTTGCGGCGGATGAGACGGTGAGGGTGCAGGAGACGCGCGGCGCGGGGGAGGAGGAGACGGTGGCGGAGGACAGGAGCGCGCGGACGAGGGCGGAGTAGGCGTCGGGACGCTCCGCCGACGCCGGGAGGGACGCGTCCACTCCCAGGGCCTGGATGAACCGCAGCGTCCACTCGCGAGACTCCCCCGGCGAAGGCTTGGGCGCCTCCTCCGGCTGGGGTGCCATCTTCGCCTGCTGCTCGAGTTCCGGCGCGGTGCTAGCTGATTGTTGCGGTTCGCGAGTCGCTGGCGAGAAAGGGGAACTGAGAGCAACTCTGTCCTCGCAAGGTCGCTGGCTCTCCGTATACGACAGGAAGAGGCTGCCGCCGAGGTGGCTTCCAAATTCAGAGTCTTTCCACGCAAAAAAAAAAGAAGTTTTTTTTATATATAACTATAAAAAAGCATAGTCTTCTTCATACTGGCTGCCTTAATATTATGGCATCCATTTATCACTATAACCAAAGTCCTAGTGAACATGCTCATTGTCATTATCAAGGGTGTGATCAAGACTTCTCAGACTGCTTTCCTTTACAGGAGGTATATTCTGAAAGGAGTTCTAGTACTCCATGAGATTCTCAATAAGTTGCATAGTAAAAAAGTTTCCTACGGTTCTCTTTAAAATTGACTTTGAAAAAGCCTTTGAGAAAGTCAAATGGCCTATTTTATTTCAGACTTTGAAGATGAAGCAATTTCCTCACAAATGGAATGATTAGACCATGAAAGATTATCTCTCAAGGGAAGGTAGGGATCAATGTTAATGGGGTAATTGGTCCATATTTGGACACCCACAAAGGCTTAAAACAGGGTGACCCACACCCACCCTTGCTTTTTGACCTTGTTGTGGATGTTCTTTATATTTCAGTGGGTAGAGCAACCGAACATGGGTTAGTACTAGGCTAGCCAAAAATCTCAGAAAGGGAGATGTTGTCATTCTGCAGCATAAGGATGACACGATTCTCCTGATCTCCTCATGCAAGATGACTTGAAGCAAGCTACAAACATGAAATTCCTACTCTGTCTTTTTGAACAGAAAACATTAACTATCATAAAAGTGAAGGTATTTGTATTGGGTTGGAGAAAGAGAGGGTTAGTCTGTTTGAAGAATTTTTTGTGGGGTGGTGCGTTACTTATGAAGTATTTGGAGATTCTTATAGATGAGAAGAGATTAAAAACAGTGAGTGTGATCCATCTGTTGGGAAAGTGGAGAATAGGATGGAATTATGGCTAGGTAAATTTCTTAATATTGCAGGGAGAACCACCTTGGTCAATTCCTCTCTATCTAGTTTACCTCTTTGTATGTTGTCATTCTATGATCTTTCTAAGGGGGTTAAGAAAAATATGATAGACCTAGAGCCAGGTTTCTATGGAGTAGGGATAAAAACAACAGGAAATATCACTTGGTTTTCTTGGCCTGTGGTATGCTTACCAAAAAAACCAGATAGGGTTAGGGGTGCTTGGTCTTGAGCTTATGAATATTTCTCTTTTATCCAACTGTCTTTGGAAGTTATTCAATGAGCAAGGATTATGGCAAGATCTCCTTAGTGATAAATTCCTCCGAGGGACAACTTTGGGTCAAATGCAACACAAACAAGGTGATTCTCATCTTTGGCAAGGTTTTGTTGGAAGTGAGAGATCTCTTTTTATCCTATTGCAAATTGTGTGGGTAACGAAAAGAAGACCAAGTGTTGGGAGGATAGGTGGTTAGGTGATGATTGTCTAGCTCAAATCTTCCCAATACTATACCCAATCTCCCTTAATGGTCATATCACTATTCATGAGGCTGTATGAAGTAACCTCTCCACTTTAAGTTGAGGGCTTTGGTATGGGAGATTTATAAATATGCCCTAGAGGGAATAATAAATGTTATTACTTATTTACATATTTCTAATTAATGTTGATATTTCTGTGCTATAATTGTTATGTGATGAGTCCAAATGTGTGATATTTTTGTGGTTATTTTTGTGCCTACACAGTAGGCTTTGTGGAATTTTATTGCGTTCGCGCAGTTCTTTTTGTCAATTTTCCCCGGGATACACCTTCTAGGATAAATGGATACTATGGAAGAAACCTTAGGAATTTACAGTGGAATCACGTCAATTAACGTGATTACCACTTGTCATAAAAATAATAAAGCATTGGAAGGAAATTGAAGCTTCTGCAGCCTTCCAGAGTGCAAGACGACCAATGGTACAAGCACAAGCGCTCATACCCACGGTCATACCAGGTGTCGCCGCTTTCCTCTGGTTTGCCCCGTGGAATCAGGTCAAAGATCAGACGCATTCACACACCAAAAAGTCATCCAGAAGGCAAAATCCTAGCCTCTGAAAGGCATCCGGAGGGGGAATTGGCAAAGAGGAGATCGCCATCTTCACCACCACGTGCAGTGGGGCGTCGACATCATCCATCTCCACCATCCATCATCATTAATATCCATCTCCATCTCATTATAATACCAGACCCTTTGTGGATCATCCTGTGTATTACTCATTCATGTTGTTAGAGATACGACAGGTAAATCAAATGATGAAGAACGAAATCTGTTGGGGAACGTAGCAGAATTTTAAAATTTTCTACGCATCACCAAGATCAATCTATGGAGTCATCTAGCAACGAGGGAGAGAGGAGTGCATCTATATACCCTTGTAGATCACGAGCGGAAGCGTTCAAGAGATCGGGGTTGATGGAGTCGTACTCGACGTGATCCAAATCATCGAAGATCCTAGTGTCGAACGGACGGCACCTCCGCGTTCAACACACGTACGGAGCGAGGACGTCTCCCGCGCCTTGATCCAGCAAGGAGGAGGGAGAGGTTGAGGAAGAGGGCTTCAACAGCAGCACGACGGTGTCGTGGTGATGAAGTTGTAGTACTCCGGCAGGGCTTCGCCAAGCTCTTATGGAGGAGGAGAGGTGTTGGGGAGGGGAGGGGCTGCGCCTTGGATGTTGTCTGCAGCCCTCCCCTCACCCCTCTATTTATAGGGGAAGGGGACCGGCCCCCTCTAGATGAGATCTAGAGGGGGGCAAGGGGAGGGGGGCTTGCCCCCCAAGCAAGGGGGCGCCCCCCTTAGGGTTTCCCCCAACCCTAGGCGCATGGGCCCTAGGAGGGTGTGGCGCCCCAGCCCACTTGGGCTGGTTCCCTTCTCCATACAGCCCATAAGGCCCTCTGGAAGAGGTGGACCCTCCCGGTGGACCCCCGGAACCCCTCCGGTGGCCCCGGTACAATACCGATATGCCCCCGAAACTTTTCGGCGACCATATGACAACTTCACATATATAAATCTTTACCTCCGGACCATTCCGAAACTCCTCGTGACGCCCGGGATCTCATCCGAGACTCCGAACAACATTCGGTAACACATACAAGTCTTCCTAACAACCCTAGCGTCATTGAACCTTAAGTGTGTAGACCCTACGGGTTCGGGAGACATGCAGACATGACCGAGATGACTCTCCGGTCAATAACCAACAACGGGATCTGGATACCCATGTTGGATCCCACATGCTCCACGATGATCTCATCGGATGAACCACGATGTCGAGGATTCAATCAATCCGTATACAATCCCCTTTGTCAATCGGTACGTTACTTGTCCGAGACTCGATCGTCGGTATCCCAATACCTTGTTCAGTCTCGTTACCGGCAAGTCACTTTACTCGTACCGTAATGCATGATCCCGTGATCAACCACTTGATCACATTGAGCTCATTATGATGATGCATTACCGAGTGGGCCCAGAGATACCTCTCCGTCATATGGAGTGACAAATCCCAGTCTCGATTCGTGCCAACCCAACAGACACTTACGGAGATACCTGTAATGTACCTTTATAGTCACCCAATTACGTTGTGACGTTTGGCACACCCAAGGCACTCCTACGGTATCCGGGAGTTGCACAATCTCATGGTCTAAGGAAATGATACTTGACATTCAGAAAAGCTACAGCAAACGAACTACACGATCTTTGAGCTAAGCTTAGGATTGGGTCTTGTCCATCACATCATTCTCCTAATGATGTGATCCCGTTATCAATGACATCTAATGTCCATAGTCAGGAAACCATGACTATCCTTTGATCAACGAGCTAGTCAACAAGAGGCTCACTAGGGACGTGTTGTGGTCTATGTATTCACACATGTATTACGATTTCCGGATAACACAATTATAGCATGAACAATAGACAATTATCATGAACAAAGAAATATAATAATAACCATTTTATTATTGCCTCTAGGGCATATTTCCAACAGTCTCCCACTTGCACTAGAGTCAATATTCTAGTTACATTGTGATGAATCGAACACCCATGCAGTTCTGGTGTTGATCATGTTTTGCTCTAGGGAGAGGTTTAGTCAACGGATCTGCTACATTCAGGTCCGTATGTACTTTACAAATCTCTATGTCTCCATTTTGAACACTTTCACGAATGGAGTTGAAGCGACGCTTGATATGCCTAGTCTTCCTGTGAAACCTGGGCTCCTTGGCAAGGGCAATAGCTCCAGTGTTGTCACAGAAGAGGGTCATGGGGCCCGACGGATTGGGTATGACTCCTAGGTCGGTAATGAACTCCTTCACCCAGACTGCTTCTTGTGCTGCCTCCGAGGCTGCCATGTACTCCGCTTCACATGTAGATCCCGCCATAACGCTTTGCTTGCAACTGCACCAGCTTACTGCCCCACCATTCAAAATATACACGTATCCGGTTTGTGACTTAGAGTCATCTAGATCTGTGTCGAAGCTAGCATCGACGTAACCCTTTACGACGAGCTCTTCGTCACCTCCATAAACAAGAAACATTTCCTTAGTCCTTTTCAAGTACTTCAGGATATTCTTGACCGCTGTCCAGTGTTCCATGCCAGGATTACTTTGGTACCTTCCTACCAAACTCACGGCAAGGTTTACATCAGGTCTGGTACACAGCATAGCATACATGATAGACCCTATGGCCGAGGCATAGGGGATGACACTCATCTTTTCTCTATCTTCTGCCATGGTCGGGCATTGAGCCGTGCTCAATCTCGTACCTTGCAATACAGGCAAGAACCCCTTCTTTGACTGATCCATTTTGAACTTCTTCAATATCTTGTCAAGGTACGTACTCTGTGAAAGACCAATGAGGCGTCTCGATCTATCTCTATAGATCTTGATGCCTAATATATAAGCAGCTTCTCCAAGGTCCTTCATTGAAAAAC